GTCACCCGCCCCAGCGGAGTTCCCCTCCGCAGATGCTTTGGGGACCCCCAGTATCGGAGGTTGCCCTCCACTGAGGGGGGGGATGGTACAAAACGTACCTTCTTATATATCGACTTTGTCCACTTCAATCAACTTTGTTTCCTCCGGCTTCAATTTCCATCACTCTCTATCGTTCTCTCTATGTCTGGTCAGAGATCAATCTGTTCCACGTAAAGCGCCCCCTAGAGGCCTGGAGCACTCTGTGTTTTTGGGTTTGTATGTGTTTTGGGATTTGTATGTGTTTTAGACTTTGCATATCGTTTTTGTATTTGCAGCGTTTTTCTGTTGCATTTGTTTTCGGGGTTTGTTTGTTTTTCATTTCATTATTTGCAGCTGTGTCCTGCTTATGTAGGTGTTGTATGGGATTAATTTTGTTTCATAAAGATAAAGCAACACTTTCTCAGAATCAAGCAAAACTAAGAGTTTAAGAGAAAAGAAAACTGAGTCAAGCAAAATTAATTTAATTTCAAAAATAAAACTAGAAGTTGCAAACAAATCATTTGTGTCTTTTTTCTTTGTTTTAACATATCTTTTTGTTTGCAGTTCTCTTTGGTTCTTTCTCAATGATCAGACTTTTGCTCTCGCTGCAGCTCTCTCGTTTGCGCTCCCTCATTTTTTGTTTACGATTCTGACACAAACGTCCCAGGTGGGCGGGACTTTCAGGGGTGCGTCCCCATTGGCTACTCCGTTTTTGAGTGACAGCCCACTACACCACAGATCGTATAGTGCAACTTATGCAGCAAACTCCGGAGTCCACTCGGCCACGTTTGTGTTGGTGCCTCCTTGGAGTTTTCATGAACATATCGGACTTATCTTATGGATTGCTGTGCATTATACTTGTGTTGTGTAGTTTATACTTTATTCCAACTTTAAATATTTTAATACCTGAACACACTGCTGCTGTAAAATAATTTCCCAATTTGGGATCGATAAAGTGTCTGTGTCTATCTATTTATTTATTTTATAGATAAAAAAAAACACATCTATGTATTTTCAAGCTAAAGGTGATACACAATATAAACTGTATACTATTATTTTTTCAAAGACATGTTACATTTCAAAAGCATATATGGCTATGTTTAGGACAAACAATTAAAGACTGCTTTAATGTATGAGGGAGGCTGTGGCTCAGTGGATAGTGTGATGGACTTGGAATCAGGGGGTAGTAAGTTCGAGTCCCACTGCCCCCCCCCCATGTCGTTGTGTCCCTGGGCAAGACACTTCACCCCAAATTGCTCCTGTGGGGATTGTCCACAGTACTGAATGTATGTAAGTTGCTTTGGATAAAAGTGTCTAACAAGTGACATGTAATGCAATGTAACAAATTCTACAATATAAAAGTGGCAGATTTGCTTTATTAAACAGACCAGACCTAGGTTGCATACCAACACAATTAGGAACATGCTCACATCTTACTATGTTGGTCTGAAGAGCTGAAACATCCATACACAATGGATACAAACTGTGTTGTCTCATTCTATCCTGTGAGAAAATTATATACATTTAGCATTACAAATTATTATTATTTTTTTTCCTAGCCTGAGGAAGATATGAATAGATTTGAATGGAATCTCTAACATTTTCATGTAGAATAAAGACAAAAGAGTGATTATACAAATTACATTTATTTTAACCAGAAGATGAAGTCTCAAAGAATGTTTTAAATGAAAGGACATAAAACAAAAAGGTGGATAATAATAAAATATATTAAATGTATATGTAAAGACATTTGGTCAAATGAAATGACACTGAGCAAGTGATAACAGCAACGCACAGCTTTTCTTTACTTCTCACTTAACACAATAAAGAAACAGACCGTATAGTACAGCACAAACAACACAAATGATCAATACTTACATATATTTTAACTTGTAGTATTATAATAATTGAAATGTTGGTTCTTCTGGGGGTGCTGTCCACGCTCAGCTACCGCCCCGCAGCTGCACTGTACAATCACTGGAGGACTGGGCTGTCACTCAAAAACGGAGTAGCCAATGGGGACGCACCCCTGAAAGTCCCGCCTACCTGGGACGTTTGCGTCAGAATCGAAAACTAAAAATGAGGGAGCGCAAACGAGAAGAGCTGCAGCGAGAGCAAAAGTCTGATCATTGAGAAAGAAGCAAAGAGAACTGCAAACAAAAAGATATGTTAAAACAAAGAAAAAATACTTATAGTTTACATGATTACACAAATGATTTGTTTGCAACTTCTAGTTTTATTTTTGAAATTAAATTTATTTTGCTTGACTCAGTTTTTTTTTCTCTTAAACTCTTAGTTTTGCTTGATTCTGAGAAAGTGTTGCTTTATCTTTATGAAACAAAACGAATCCCATATTTTTGGCCGTTGTTCCGCGTTTGCACCTGCCGGCCACCGTACAAAACAATATAATCATTTTCTGGGATATTTGAACGTGACAGCGCCTGATCCTTAGTTTAGCTTGTCCACGTAAAAATAAAAGGTGTAAAAACAAGATTAAAATCTTAAAATTCAAGGACAGAATTTACCCACTTATTGTCAGCTCCTCCTCAGTCAGATGATGTAACTGTAATATTTTCAATGAACTGTGGTAAAAGATAACAAGTTAAATGTGTTATTAATTACCTTTTTTTTTTTTTAATAAAAGTTTTTAGCTAATTAAAAAATGTAAACCCCTGGCTCCAATTTGGCTGGGGACAGGCCATTTTTAAGAACTTCTATTTTTTTCAAAAGTGTTTTTAAATAAATAAAAAAACACCTGAAACCCTATAGTGAATCACAGACCTATGTACAAACAACTCACAAAACACTACTATCTCATCAGTTTTAAGATATTTTATGGATTATAATTTGTATTCACTGTAACAATCCCAGGACAGATAATATACGTTTCTGGTAGAATGTATGCACACAAGCACAGAGGTGGGAAGTAACTTGTACATTTACTCAAGTGCTGTACTGAAGTACAATTTTGAGATACTTGTAACTTACTTGAGTTTTTCAATGTTTTGCTTCTTTGTAGTTCTACCCCACTACAATTCAGAGGTCAATCGTCTACTTTTACTCCACTAAATAACTTTAGTTACTTTACAGATTTGGATTAATGATGTGAAATATAATCATCACTTAAATAACACTTTAGTAACACCTGGAGTAAATTCACAAGCTACCCTGCAGTATACAAAGTCATTAAAAATAGCTACACCTTAACCTGCTTTGATAATACTTTAATGATCAATAATAATAATCAAAACATATAATATGATTCTGAAATGGACCGATCTGCATAATGAGTCCTTTTACTTTTAGTGTATATTTTGATGCTCATACTTTTAATAGAAAAATATTATACTCACTTACTTACTTTAATAATATCATTGTGTGATTTTTATTTGCTAATGTTTATCTATATTTACTACTTTCATTTTTTTCCTAAGCTTGGGAAAATTCCTTATTAAGAAGATGTGTTGCAGTGTTGTTAGTTACACTCTATGTGCACCAACAGTATGACCTTCAACTCAGGTGAACTGAGAACATCCTGATACGGCCTCCCTAACTTCCAGAATGCTCCATTGTTATCACCAAGCTTCACCCCTCCCTTTCTCCTCTCTCTGTGTTTAAATATGAAACCCAAACTCTATTCTTCGTCTTTCACTCTGCAGACTGTATGCTCTCTGTATGACTGACTGAACTTTCTTGCAAGAAATAAAATACGACAAAGACAGCTGAATGGTTTGATTCTCTATGCACATTTGATAAATAAATTCCCACCACAATACTTTTGTACTTTTACTTTTACATTTTGAATGCCGGACTTTTACTTGTAAAAGAGTATTCCTACACTCTGGTACTTCAACTTTTACCCAAGTACAAGATACGAGTACTTCTTCCACCTCCGCACAAGAATAATAGCCTACTGCAGCTTCTACTGAAGGAAAAAGTAAAAAGCTGTAAAATATTTAAATGATTTGTTTTATATGTCAGTGTTGTTTTTAGGGCTGAAATTATGACATACTGTACAGACTGAAGTGTACACGCAGTAACAAAAATACATGTACAGTATCTTAAGGTTCTTTATATTTAATGATTTTTGAAGTTGGAACATTTCCTAATGTTAGTTCTCTAGAAATAATTGCAAAATAAAGATACACAATAAACAGTATTCTTCATAAAATGGACATAATTCTTTTTTTATTTAATATTCTGCACGATATATACAAGAGCTGCTAATTAGATTATAGGCCATCTTCCAGTGAGAAGTCACAGATACTGTTTATACTCAGTAATTATTTAAGTATCTTCAAACGTAGTGGATTAACCTCAATGGTGTAACACACCTTGCCTGTGGTGTGTAAGGCTTACGTTGATTTGCTGTGTGTGAGAAGTGTTTTCTCACCACCCTCAAAATATCTCGCACAGCACAGTGATATCGTCAGATAGAAGGCTAATGATGTAACAACATACCAGATGATTGAACTCTTAAGGGCCATGTTTAGATTCTGGAACATCTGCTACTCCAACAAAGCTCTTCTGAGATACTCAGGCATAAATGCATGTTGTGTAAAATCCTTTCACAGTCATTTCACACATTGTGTACAGAGCATTTAACCAGGTTGAGCTAACTGATGAACAGCATCTCTTCCTTTATCAATATAGAAAGCTAATAATAAATTATCTATGCGTATAACAGCCCTTCCCTTAGAATCCTTTAGTTAATAGCTTAGTAAAATCCATTGAAAGGTAAATCTACTTCAGTACTGCTTGGAGTCAATCCAACATGGTATATATAATCCATGCAGTCACACTTAGCACCTCAAGCTTATATAGATACGTGAGGTATATCAAAGAAGAGTGGAATGGTAGTTAAGCATGACGCATACAATTAGGCAGGGTTATTTGGCATTTTTGGAGTAAATAAGAACAACACCAGTTGGCATTTGTCTTACAGGTGGATATTGTTGGCATGGTGAAGTTGAGCAGTCGGTCTACTGCAAAACGCAGTGGAACAACAGAGGCAGAATCAGCAGCAGATAGTTGAGTCCTGGCAGCCTGTAGGCAAAACTGGTCACATTGCAGTCATCCCCGTAGCAGCAGTGAACTCTGACACCTGGCGCTCTGTAGCCCTGGCTGTTGGCCTGAGTACAGAAAGACTTGTAGGAGCATGACTTCATCACCCCACCTGACAAAACAGGTAGAAATAGAATTCAGTTACACTGGTGAAGCAGCTGATTTACATGAACAAACCCCTTTCCTTCTTTATTTTGTTATTTCAAATCAAATCAAATCAAGTTTTATTTATAAAGCACATTTAAAAGCGATATTTGTCTGTGTGTGTCCAGTATACATTAATGTAGGGCAACTAGAGTATCTAATATCTGTCATTTAAGGACATCTCCTATTGCCCCTTTCTTATGATTAAAACATTTAAAAACTGAATTGAGTTTGTGAAAGAAAATAGTTTTATTGCCTTGCACACATGGAGTCCTAATTGAGGATATTGATCAGGTAGGTGCAGCAAAGCTCTTCATTTCCTTAAACGCCTTGGACCACCTGCTGGGATGTGCCTCCAGACAGCAGCCTGTCCTCACTTAAACACACAACCTCACCTATACAAAAACAGCTTTTTGTATCTCTAATATGGGTGGAAAGAAAAGAGCTTGTAAAAGAAAGGTTACTATCTGTCACTGTTGGACTCACTTTCATGGCCCACCACCACAGCGCAGGCATCAGAGTAGCTGGGACACGTTTTGGAGCCTTGCCGGTTGCAGTCGTCGTTATTGGAGCCCATACAGCTATAACATTGCAGAGCCTCACCTGAAGGAAGCAGAAAAGAAATACTGTTACAGCACACACTCAAGCAGGACGATGAAAACTTCATGGCGTGTTGAAAGAAAATAGTTAAGTGATCTCTAAAGCATAGTTTATCTTGGTCTGGGTTGATAGCATCAAACATGCTAACTCATCAGACAGCAATTTAATTTCCAAAAGAGTAATTTCACTGAGTTACATTGTGGCAAACTCAAACTAAATAATTTCCATTAATCATGAATTGTAGCCTTTTCGTGAAGATCATTCAATGCTTACCAGGGACTTAACTGAATGTGTTTTACCCTTTATCAACACAGCAGGAACAGTGTGCTGGATGAGTGTGCAAACAGACACCTCACATCGCAGTGACTCGGATGCATGACTTTGTCCCACATTGAGATAGAAGTGAGGAGAGCCCCAATGAATCACTTCCTTCACACAAGTCTTCATTAAATCAAGCAAAGAATGAAACAAGTGGGATTTAAAAATAAATCTTTCTAACCTTTAGCTAAAGCTTCAGAGGCCCACTTTAAAACTCTAAAATGTATGTTTAAAGCTCTAGAGAGGAGTATAAGCACCTATTTGAGAACTAACTGACCTTTAAAATATCACTATAAAGCTTTCTTTTGAAAACCTACATCCTTATCCTAAATTCTTAAATGTCCCTTCAGAAACAGCCTTTCATGTTTCTTCCTAAGAGGACCAAATCGAGCTGGACCCTACAAATATTTTGTCTTGGCCATCAGAATCACATCCTTTATCACTGAAACTGTCTTTTATCAGCCAGTTATAATGTGTAGGAGGACAGGAAGTCGTTCAGCCCCACACGTGTTATGTCTCTTCATGTGGCTATAGACCAGAAAGGTGAAATCTTCTCTTAAAATCAGCAAATCAACCTCATGAGACTAATAATTAAATTATTCATTTGTGAAGCCCTTCAACTGATAAAAGCACAATTGTATTATATGGATTTGAGAAACTTGTTTCATTGCTTTGCTTCGTGTGTGCCTGTTGACATGACAAATAAACCCCCCCGCTGTTCATAGTTGACCCCGATCTATCCCCGCAGCACAGCCGCTCTACACACATGCTACAAGCATTAGTCTTCAGGCCTATTAAGAGATTAACTGTTAGGATTGCATGCTAGTTACAGAGGAAGATTACAAACTGAAGGAAGGAAAAACTGTGGAAAATGTCCAGAGTAATTATAACAGCAACTTAGCAAAGTTGACAGGATTTAAAGTGCCATTAGAAGGTATAACTCCTTTAAAACATACAAGGCATTTTCTGAAAAACTGAAATGTTGTTATGTTCAACATTTCCTGACATGTCTGAGAATAACTTGGTAAGTTATTTTCCTGTCTCTCAGAAAACACTGAAATACAGAAAAACAACAAATGCAAACTGTTCTTGGAAATTCAAGAGTGGCAAGGGAGAAGGATACCTGGAGGGAGATACCAAAATAATAGAGGGGAGATCTAAAGGGGAACAGGACTGGGTATATATAAAAAACTATAAAAAACCTAAAATCCTTACTGTAGGTTGCTAGCAGGACCAGAGGAAGCAGGAGCAGTGGACAGAAGTGGACAGCTCTCATGGCGCTGGTGGTTCTCGTGGTTCTGATCTCACAATGCAAAGCAGATTGTGTGTTCCTAAAGACCCCGGAGCTAAATCTGAGCTATCAGATGAGCTAATATCCCCTCCTGCACTGACTGAGATTATCAGACCCTCCGCTGGGACCACAGCTCTGTGGTCAATCGTTGCTTCTTCCTTCATCCTGTACCTCTCACCTCAATGCTGTTCTATAGCCACACCTCCTGAGTGAAGATCAGCCCTTTCTTGTCCCTGTCTCACCTGCTCCAGTCCCTGCTGCACTACCTAACTGATCTGTGAACTTTAACTTGGCCCTACAGGTGGCCATTTAGTTTCCCAGGTTCATTTGCCATTGGTTGCCCTGAGAGGTACGTCTGCCTGTGTGAGATTTTTTCAACAACAATTCCATAATTCTATAGAGATGGTTAAGATATTTGATATTACAGTTCCAATTGCAGTAAATCAATTCAGGTTAGACATCTGTGTCAAAAATATTGCTATAATAAATGTGTTTTACTGACTTTACTTTATTGAAAAATGCATATCCTTGTCAAATTAAGTCAATTACTTGTCAAAATATGTTCTTACAAATGTTTTTTTGACTGAATGCTTATAAACATATTTATTATTTATATTTTATTATTTTCACTCAAGTGTGATTCTGAAGTCGTTGATTTTCAGGCTTGCTCTGTGGGTTTTTTCATTCAATTATTGCAACTTTGAGAGAAAGATGCTTAATTTCCACCTCCGCCAATTAGGTTGTAACTTTGTTTTGGTTTGTTTTTTGTTTAGCTGTTGGACAGAAGGTTTCCAGAAAATATATTGGATCCTATTTCATGAAACTTGTTGAAAGGGTCTAGTAAGGGCCAAGGAAAAACCCAAATACATTTCTGGAGCTAATCAGAATCATGGGGAATCATTCACCCATTAGTTTCAGGTATCTTTTTCAACCTCATTTAACTCAATCATAGCAACTTTGGAAGAAAACTAGAATGATAGTAATTCTATTTGCATATTCATTTTCCTCATAAACACCAATATGTGGATAAATAGGTGTATTGTACCAAATTCTTCATTGGTCATGCCAGGTCAACAACATTTAATAGAAAACATGTCATCAGTGGACCCAGGGTGCTGTATTGCCATCTTTTATTGCACTTTGTAAGCAGATGCTGTACAGCAGCTGTGCAGAAGTTACTCCTCAGTGTGACAAAACGACCGTAGCAGAACTAGGACATATCCATAAAAAAATTAAATGACTCCTGCTCACAACTTAATAAGGTCACGATTAGTTTGCTTTATATCAAAATAAAATCCCAAAAAATAGTCAAGGAAGCTATTACAAGTATGACAAATATCTACAAGGTGACATGAGGAGAGTGGGCCGAGGATGACAGAATAACTATCAAAAATGCAGAAGAATCTTTTTTTATATTTGGAATTTCCTACAATATATACAAACATAACAATACAGGTTCTCTCCCACATGCAGTAAGCTATTGGGATAGTTTGTTTTCTCTTGGTGGTGTATCAACATTTTATAAATGAATCTAAATCTGTTTTTCAAAGTCTATCTTTCTCTCTTATCAAGAGGAGACAACAACAGGAATGGGTAAACAGTCTTCTCCCTCAGTGGCTGTCATGGCAACATCATTATAGATAATTTAAATCACAAACAATGATCTTTCTTTCTCATTATCATACACGCACTCACACGCACAGACACGCTCATAAGTGATATGTTACATATTCTTGAAACCAGACCCCTGATACAGAACGATACACCGACACATCAAAATGTACAGAGTGATAAGGAGAACGCCATTCCTGTGGATCCTGTATACACAACATCAGTAGGAACTGAACCCTTTTGGCCGTTTTAGCCTTAATGTCCATCAGTCCTTGGTAAGAGTTGTAAAAACAACGGATCAGCTTCATTTTCCAAGTCGTTTATTTCCCACAACTGCTCTTCTTCTCTGTGGGATTTGGCGATGTGGTCGCTAACTCCTCCCCATCTTGGAGATCAGCTCATCGCAGATCTTTGTTAACTCCTCGATCTCTTTGTTCTGTAAAACAATTGTCAAAAAATAACATTAACATACTTGTTTTAATGAATATTTTCCCATGGTTTTTATCATCCTTTCAAGCCCCAGGATTGAGAAGTTCTGACTGACCTTTTGCTCCAAGGTGCGCTCCAGGGAGTCCACCTTCATCTGCTCCTTCCTCAGACTGGCCTGGTGGGCAGCCTGCTCCTGCATGGCCTTGGCACGTACATGAGCTATGTCAGAATTCGCCCTGGAACCACACAAGTAATACAAGGAGAGTGAATAAAATGCGAGAAAAATAACTCACACTAAAGGTTGTGATGAGGTGCTGATCACTGGAAGTAGACTTGAAAGTAGGGAAAGGTGTCACATTGTCAAATCTTCAGGAACGACATTAATTATTCAGTTAACTATGAGAAAGCTTCAGGTCCTATGAGACTGCAACCTCGTGTTTGTAAAGCCAATGCAGAATACATCTTTCAAAATGGAGATGGCTTATATATATTCTATAACAACAGCTAATTCAATTGGCATATATATCCAAACATATTACTTCTTGTCATTGATTAAGTGTATGTAGTTAATGTGTTGTGATGCTTTCTCTTTGGGGGAAACAACATGGTCATGGTGGATTAAACTGTAGATATTAGGACTCACCTGTCTAGTTTCTCCTCTGCATGAATCTTCAGGGCTTGATAGCGCTGCTCCTCCTTGCGGACCCTGCACAGATACTCCTGAGCACATTTCTTGAGAATCTCCTCATTCTGAAAAGAGTGACAACATTTTTTAAATACTGACCAAATGTACTGTTAATCTAAATGTCTTACAAAGCCAGATCCTAATAATTCTCTTTAGTTGTGAATCATTTGTGTCACCTTGCGGAAGCCCTCCAGTACATCTTTCATTTTCTCGTAACGTCTGAAGAGGTCGGCAAGAGACTTTTCCACAGAGTTGAGGTCGGACAAGGCCTGGTCCTTCTCCATGATCAGCTGCTGGATGGTGTGGTGGGACAGAGATTTCTCTTTCTGGTCATCCTCTGACAGGCACACACAAACATACTGTAGATCAGATCATCTGTCTGAAGAGCCAGCTGTACTGGTCACATATACATTACATGTTACTTGTTATACCCACAAATACTTACAAACAGACACTTTATTTTTGACAGAATATCAAAATGAATGTGTGGGTTAGTATGATTTAATAGCATATAATACTAAACTATATGTGGCATGCAAACAAAAACAGTTAACAATGGGAAAAACAAAGAGACCTGTAAACAATATACTGTAATCAGAGCTAGCAGCTTGACCCTTGCAGCTCGTTTCTATACCCTTAAATATTAAATGATGAACCTTACACAATATTTCAGCCACCTACCCAGCTTTCCCTTTCATTTCCTGTCGCAAGCGTGAGAAGAATGACTTTTGCAACCATATAATATAAAAAACAAAGTAATGATGTACTTAATATCAACCACTGAGGGAATAGATAAAGTAAATACCATACTGTATGATTATTCCTAAAGTAAAATAAAAACAGTGTCTCAACATACAGGATGAAATGCAACAGAAATGGACAAACAAATGTCACTGGACGAGATGAAGAAAGTGAGCACATCTGCTCCCTTTTCTGATGTGAGCTGACACAAACAAGTGAAGGACAATTCCGCATTACTCACCTGGCATGCCTGTCAGGGTTATCAAATAGAAAGGGAAGCAAAGATGAGAGCAGAACAGAAAAAAATGGACTGTGTTAAGTCAAGCTGGGAGGGCAAGACACGTGAGAGAGCCGAGTGTTAGACAAGAGCGGCGACAGATTGAGGCTTTTGTGAGAAGTGCTTTAATGATAGAAGAAAATTAAATTAGACAGCAGCGGAAATCAAATCTTCAGGTGGCGAAGAAGATGTAGGTGAGAGCAGGAATAATGTGGAAAGTAACCCTGCTGCGAGATTTAATACAGTTGGACATGTGTGGGCAAAAGGTGAATACCTCCCACTCTTAATGACATCAGGGTTCACTTCATATCAATCTAACATAAAAGCAAGCACATAGCAAAAATAGCTTGTGTCAGATTATAAAAAATAAATCTCTCTGGAATAATTTGCAATGTAGTGTAAAGCACACATTTTGTATATTGCAAAAAAAACAAACAAAGGCAGCAAAAAGTAGGGGCAGAGTTTGGAGAGACAAAGGGTTCAATATCCTGAAACCAATCCTCTGGTTTTGTAAGCAACCCAAAATCTGTATAGAAAATTGAACTCACCTATCATCTGTGCAATCGTCTTCTCATACTCAGCAACAATCCTCCTATGGATGAAAAAATGTCAGATCATCAATATATTGATGGGGTTGAATCTGTATCTCATATTTTCTCAGGGTATAGATGTTTTTAAATGTCAGTCTGTCGGCCTGTTCGAGCAAGAAAAACCACATGATCGAACCTGGTTGTGATATTGCCTTAATATGCTGGGAATCTTTTAGTGGCATTTATGATCATCGGATTATCTAAAACTATCAGTAGCTCTGTATCTTTTATTTATCTGCACTGTGTGTACAGTTTTCATCTAAGCATTGCAGATTTAGGCTCCCCCACACTTCAAGCCCAGTAGCAGCATGGCCCAATGGGAAGTCATGTTTTGGGAAAAGCAGGTTGATAAAGGGTAAGAGGATTGATTAGCCATGCCTCCCCCTTAGCATCTTAGCCCATCCTTATCCCCAACCTAATCAGTCAAATGAAGTAAGCTCAACACTAACTGAGCGATAGCCAGCTGGACCCACACCCACCACCTGCTGACAGGGAACAAGGTCTTAGTATGGTATTTCCTTGAACCCACATTGTCAGACATACTGTAGATTAATCCTCTCTGGACGTTAATATGAGTTAGTTCGTTGATCCAAGTTTTAAGATGTTCTCAGACTGTTGGTGGTGTATAATCCAAAGGACACCAAAAGCCACTAACACATCTTGTCATGAAAAGTTGTCAAATATCATATACAAACATCATTGGTTCCTCTTTTCTCCACCATTAACTCTCATGCTAATAGCAGGACTCAGATGGCTCTCCACTCTGCAGTTAACCATGGCTGTGTTTTACACTTAACGCGATAGTGATGGGTGGAGTCTATGTAGAAGACACTAAGCATGGTGACGCGGTACCATCTAGCATAAACACGGGGAGGTGTTAAATCTATGTTGTGTAGTGTATGTGTGGGACCTCACTGTGTTGTAAAGGATGACAACTCAACATACTACTTCTTACCTCATCTCCATCACTTCCTGTCGGCTGTCTTCATACTTTCTATGCCACTCCAGCACTTCTTTCTCCTTTGTCACAATCTGAGGTAGTAACAAAAGTGTCAAGTAAAGTGTGCGATGTAGAATCAAAAATATATACAGTGTTACTCATAGGACAAAAATAAACTTTTTTGGCACCTCTTCTCGTGCAATTCCCAGCGAGTGGTCCAGTTCTTTGGGGAGGTGGGGACTCTCCCCCTCGATGTAGTTGGTGCTGGTCCTGGTGTACAGCGAGTCCTTGGACACACCGCTATCTACCGCAGACGAGATGTCTCTGTGCTGCTTCCAGGAAGCAAAGGAGATGCGGGAGAGGAAAGGAAACATAACCAGTTATAAACCAGACTAAGCTACAGATGGTACTCCCTTGGGCCCACTCGCATTCCTGAACAATATCTTCGAGGCAGCATCAAACTACAACAAAATGTACCACACAGCAAAAACAATATGTAAATGAGGGAGACTAGTGATGTTCCTGAAGACTTGGTCAGCTGCCACATGATTGGATGAAACAGTCTTCATTTCTACAGTATTAGCCAAGTGATTTGGCTGATGCTGCCCCCAGCTGAGCGGTCATGATCACCTGCTCATCGCAGAAGCTTGAATGTGATTGGGTCCAGGCAAGGCACACAAGAAGGAGGGCAGCATTTGATACAGCAAGGACTGCATCAGATACAGCAGAGGGAGGGAGGATAGGGCAAGGGGACTGGGCAGCATGGGTAATAGATGTTATTCTCCCGTTAAAACATATTACAACATTGTGGTCTTACCTGTTGTGGCTGAAATCAAAGTGTAACCTGTTACAGCATTTAGCCAACTATTTAAAAAATGCAAAGACTATGATGGGAAGGGAACAAGAAATTCCAGAGGATTGATCTTCAGAAAGACTTTGGATAAAATGTTGAGGTGTACTGAGAGACAATTAAAAACTAAGTCTTATGCATCTGTTTGTGTAACCATTGCAACAATTCACCAACACTTTTGGTCCCCTAAAAACTGTAGGTTTATTCTGAGAGAGTCTGGTTTTTGGAGGATTTGATCAAATGATGGGGGCTTACAGGGTACAAGGAGATCCACTAATATGCAGAAAAGCGAATAGAAGTGTTTGGCTTGCCTGGATCAGTAACTTTTTACCCACTTTTGGGCACCATGTGTAATTGGACTTCAGTGTTTTATAGGCAAAAAACGTAAACTTTCGACTTGAAAAAAAAATAGTTGATGTGAACAAAAAAGGATAGGCTAGATAGACGAGTCAAACACAAAAACAACCCAGCAGCAAATGTATTTATTCAAGACTAAAAGAGATACTAAAAACTGCAGATAACACAACTTGGACTCATTTGCTCACAGGTACAAAGTACAACTAAGGGAATCTAAAAAGTAATTTATAAAAGGTCTAAGACTTAGTTAGTTTACAGTGCAGTCTAAAGGTATTTGAGCAGTGTGGGAAATGAAGCCCTATTATTTTCTGAGCAGTCTAAAATTGGAAGTAGACGACTAAGTTTTGAAGTGTTGTGATTCCTACACTCTTAGCTAATGTAGACGTGTTCGACTTCATTCCCCCTGAGCACTGTAACCTCGTAGTTATTTCAAATCCATTGTGCTTGTGCAGTGAGCCAAAAACCATGAAATGACCAAATACTTGGACTGCACTGTAGTTGGATTATAGGACGGGGGCGGATCAAGGGGTATAATGATACTCTTACTTTAAGTAAGGGTGAACCGTTGATATTCCATCGCCGAGTGCTGGGTTTCTTTAGTCTAGACTGTGAAATGTGTGGGACACAGCATGAGACAAAGCAGAGAAGGAAGCGTCTTCCTTCCAGCTCTTACACTGACTTTCTTTTAATGTTCATAAATCAGCTAAGCAAAAAATAATCCCTATTCGTATATCCAGGCATGTGCTGTTTCAGCATAAGCCCTCCAACCAGCAAAGTTCTCACACTCTACCCTAAATACTGACACCTACCTACCTGTTTGTTAGTGCTGTTAGTCCGGAAAAAGGACCAATTTAAAATACAAGAATGTGACTGGGATTTAGGCGGATGATAGCAAAGCATCAACAAACACATCTGAGACAGTTACATCCCTACAATTCCTCGGCTGCTGATATAAAGTCCATCAGGAGACAATCCCAGTCACATTCATGCCATTGTAAGGCTTTTAAAAACAGGCAACATGCAAGTTGCCTAACAGGACACAGTTGAGGAGCTCGCTGCTAGGCGGGGGGGGGGGGGGGGGAGCTGGATGCGTAAAGCCATGTTAGAGATTCCATATGTGGGGATTGAAGAGGACTGCATATGTAGCTGTGCAGCCACAATGTTGATAAGGCCATGGGATCACACTCACACTCAGCATGGTGTGTTTAAGGGGAGGGGAAAAGGCAGGCTGAGACACACTCATGCACGCACACTACAGCCAGGCACACGTGCATCTCACACACACCTGCATGTCCGTAATAACTCATTCAGGATGCTCTTTCCTTTTACACACACATTCACACACACACACACACACACCCTTTGCATACATCAGGTGCAGCACTCAGCGCAGTACCTGGGGGTTTACAGTGGAGAGGGAGGGGCACTGTGAGATGTTTTTGGCTATCTGCAGAGCCTCTATCCTCAGGGCAGCAAGCACCAGTTCCTCCTGGGCCGCAGACATGGGGGGTGGGGGAGGGGTATTGGTATTTTTTTGGGGGGTAAGGGAGGGGGGTTGCGGCCCCAGGATGAGAGAGCAAAGGGAAAACATACAGACACTTGAGTTGAGTGCACACACTTGCTGTCTACATTTCACACACCATCAATCTATGGGGAAATGAAAAGGCTGGATGTAGTGAGATGAAACAATGGGAGTAACGTGAAAAAAACACACAATCAGGGTGGAGGGGGCCCACCAGAGGCAAGCCATTAACATAAAGAGGGGTCATCTGTGGTCTGTCAACACACCTGTAGTTTTTGAGCGAATGCTGTCGGGTTGGTTTCAGCCAGGTCGGGCTCCAGGTACTGCAGGAGGTCGTCACACTCAGACAGCCTGTCTAACAGGGGCATGGGCAGGACAGGAGCAGGGGCCTCCACAGGGCCCAGGCTAAGGGGCTACAGGGGCACCGGGAGGAGTGGGGGAGGAGGGTAGGGGTCAGCATGGCAAAGCAAAGCGCTGAGTTTTTGAGTGGCAGCATTGGGAGCTGAGTCACTGAGTTTAAGCTGGGAAGCTACAGTAGTGTGGGGAGCTGGCTATGTGTTATTAACAGTGACAGGGCTTTAATGAGAATCACTATGACTGATGTTGGAGGGCTAATTCAAGGCCTGAAATACAGCCTATTGCAATCTGCCCCATGTGACTAAACATTGACATGGTATAAATGTGACAAAATCATAACTGTCCCAACATGATGAGGACAAGACATAGAAATGACAACATGTGTGATAACTGATCGCTGAGTTTTGAATATTTACAATAGTGATCGGCTCACCTGCTCATCCCTCTCTGTGCTTTGTGTTCGGCTGAGCGCCTTGTTCTCTCTCTTTCTGCCCTTTTCCCCAGCAGAGCCCTCGGGACCAGGCCGGGAGCTCAGCACCGGTGTCTTCATACCCGCTGTTATCTGGGCCTCCATCTCCTCAAAACTGCTGCTCATAGGGAGAACCAGAGGGGAGAGACATGGCATGTGATTTACTGTATATGATGGATGAGAGTGTTAATGAAAAACGGAGCTGAAGCAGCTGTATGCATTATGCAATCTTAATCATTCTGGTTTCTAGTTAGCCCAATGCATAGTCTACTGTACAAGTGAAGCACTGAACATTGCACTGTAAGACTTCCTACATTATAAAGTGAACATACAATGTAGACATTTCCGCCAAATTACAACACATAATACAAAAATAAAACATGAGTAGGTTGTGTTTACCCAGTGCAGGGGGAGCTGGGTTCAGATCCATTTGCGCACTTATTCTTGGGTAAATTGTCAGAAACGGAGTCTAACTTCAGGTACAAAGACGGCTTCTTCACAGACAGTGGCTACATGAAACACAAGCAAATAAAGCAGACACTTTTTTAAATATCGGTACACATTTTACAACTTAGAAAGAAAGTACAAGTATAAAGAAAGAAAGCAGCAAATATTTCATACAATTATTTAAATAACACAGAATACTCACAGGCGAAGCGGAGCCAAGCTTCTCCATATACTCAATCTCATAGTCTTGCACTGATGCAGAAAGACAAAAATAAGTCTTAGAGTCAGAGGAAGAAATGGAGAGACATATCTAGCCAGTGTTGAGCTCTGGACTGATGGGTTTAGAAGCTGAGGCAGGGCTGTTTGTTCATTATATCCTCTCTGACCTAGATTGGTTGCGCCACAGAGCCTCAGGGAAGAGGTGGCTCTTTTGGAGGACAGAGGGCAGTAGAGAACTCGGCCATATTATTTCACGGCCAGAACAAAAATCAATAATGTAGCTAAATGAATGTAGAGGAAAGTGGCTGGTGGCTGTACTCATAGGCGGATTTTGCGGGGGGCAGCGGGGCATTGCCCCCCCTAGTGGCTGAAATATGTTACAGCATTACTGCGTCTAAAACTGTTCCAATACAAATATTTCGTATATCAATATTTTAATAAGGTAGGACACTGGTTAATAATATTGTAGCGTGTTCAAGTAACCAAGGGATATAGTAGTTATCAAATAAGTATAAGATGTGCACAGTTATGTAATGCACTGTTATTGGGGAGAGACACCGCCCCTTCCATATGACTGTGTGTGTACGGCGGGCATGAGGCGTGCATGACGGGACGAGTTGTGTTCGTATGTGGAAAAGTCATACTCAGAGCGGTGAACGCTGGCTTTATTGCTACTGTATCCGTAGCACCCCACGCAATAGTTGGGACTGTGTACTGTCGTCAGTAAAAAAGGTTTGCCCCCCCAAGCGCAAATGTCAAACTCCGCCTATGGCTGTACTGTAAATGATGGTTTTAGCTTTTAATATCTTTTGAGCACCACCTATCTGCAGTCTGCTTTGATCTATGTCAGCATTTATCAGAACGCAGGTGGCTGGAGATACAAAAAGAGATCCGAGAGAGTCAGACAGCTAAGCCTCACCTGGAGTCTGATCAGGAAGACTGTTTTCATTAACAAAGGACGAAAGGTCGCTCGGCTGAGGGAAGTCTTGCTGCTCAGAATTCAAATCTGCATCCACGTTGTGTAGGGCTGCCCACTTATGACTAGTGGAGGAAGCCAGCTTCTCCTCATCTGTGGCGTGGTCGTCCTGTGGGTGGAGGGAGGGAGTTTCATCTGGTGTAGGATCCTGCAACACAGAGGAGGTAGCAGTGAGATGGGAGAAGGAAAACATTTAGCCAGACAGTGAGAGAGCCAAGTGTACATAAAGAAATAAAGAATCAGGTACACACCTCGGATGGGTCAGATGAGGATTTCTTTGGCGACCTCTTCACTCTGAAAGTGTTACTGAGAAAAAAAAGTTCAATCATCAAGATCCAGAGTCCCTGCGGGCCTTCAGTACACAACTTTTAATCAGATCCAACAGTCACTGTCTAACACCAAGTATTGTAAAAATTGTATAATTCCAAATCCTAATATGACAAACTGGTTCTGCTTTTGCATGAATGACAGGATATTTCCATAGAGCAGCATTACCATAATGTGAAATAGTACCACTTACTGTGTGTGGCTGAAATGAACAGAACAGTGAAATATTGTGACAAGGGATGAATCTATATTTAGTGAGTGCACAGAAGTAGTGAGAAATGAATATTATGTTATGAAGAGTTTACTTGTCACACAAATTAGCGATGACATTGATGCATACACAATCTATTACTGTAGATGTGATTAGTAGGTTCTTACTTTTTCTGTTACCTCAGTTTTCAATGTACAGATCCTGTGAAACATGGATTCTCAGAGGATTTGTAAAAAAGTGGAAGTTCTTCAATTGCAATTAACCACAACCATCATGATTCATTATCCTGTTTATCATCAACGACTCTATGAGACATCTGGAATATCTGGGCAGCACTGTGTCACTAGTAAAAAATGTTTACCCATTGTATCAAGGATATCATTCCTAACTGAACTCATAAGGATTGAATATAAATGGGACAATAACCCTAAAAAACGTTATATGTCTATTAAAGTATTATCATTATTATATTGTAAAGCTTTTCTCAACAATAGCCGACAATGAACACAAGAGGGAGCACAAGCACTTCCTGATACACACTTGCGGATGTGACACAGTGGCATATCAGTACACACTGATCTATAAAAAAGAGATACAAGGTATGTTGTCGGCTTCAGGAGAAAAAGATAATAATAAAAAATTTTCCATAAAACTGAATTTGTTCCAATATCTACACTTTGGAGTACGTTCTGAAAGAAAACATGAATTCCGTGTAAATGTTTTGACAACCGATCGATGAAGGCAGAAAAAAACTTAAAGGTAGGGTAGGTAAGTTTGAGAAACCGGCTCGAGATACACTTTTTGTTATATTCCATGGAATGCTCTTAACACCCCGATAGCAATGAATATCTTAAGTGCTGTGACAAAAAATCCATAAAAAAATGTCATCTGTGGAAGCCGTAATACTGTAAAAAGCATGACCAATCATTTTAGCCGGCCCGGCTAAAATAACTGGATGGCCTACCTGCCTGTCAGCCTTCCATCTGTGCACAAACTTATCTCGTGCCCTCATTGGTCATGTGCGCGTTCGTGTGTGTTGGAGGAGGGGCTCTATAAGGAAGTGGCAGATTTTCTCCGGTTGTGTTATTTCAAATTCTAGCGATCTCGAGCCGGTTTCTCAAACTTACCTACCCTACCTTTAAAGGCCATGTGTTTTTAAGTTTGTCTTTCGACAGCATATTATTGCAATCTGTTGCAGTGACCTCTATTGGAAGAAGCATTTTAAGCCTTTAACACTGCTGACCACACCCATTGTAATACAACATTGGACTTTTGTTAACTGTAAATGGCAATGTGTGTGTGTGTGTGTGTGTGTGTGTGTGTGTGTGTGTGTGTGTGTGTGTGTGTGTGTGTGTGTGTGTGTGTGTGTGTGTGTGTGTGTGTGTGTGTGTGTGTGTGTGTGTGTGTGTGTGTGTGTGTGTGTGTGTGTGTACTAATTGTACAATGATGTTTTTACCATACATGTGTCCCACAGTTAAAAAAAAATGGGCAGGATTAAAACTGTTTAAATGAATTGTTTGATCATGGGCTCAAGGGATTATGATGTCTCTGTTAATATGAAGAGGAACATCAGGGCAACATGCTGCTTTTAAATAAGTCACATGGAATTGAGGGTCAAAAAGGGATGGATGGTTGTGTTGTCCCTGTACTTACAACAAACAACATAGAGAAGACACACCCCTGGACTTCCTGTGACATATGAGAATACACAGACACAGGTGACAGAGAGGCAGACAGAGACATAATAGACAAGAGAACCACGTACAAACACAGACTAACCTCACCTACAGAGAAGCAGACGTTCCCACACATAAATACATTGTTCTGTCATTTCGTGTGGACTCTCCCATGTACGGCCCTTTTGTAATAAACTGTTAACTTACGATTTGATAGGAGTTTTCTTCTTCTTGGCAGGTTTGTTCAGATTTTGGTCCTCCAGTTCCCCAATGTTGTCATTGTCAATTTCATTGTCAAAGTCATTGGATGACAGTTCAAAGGAGGCGGAGGCCGTAGGAGGGGAGTCGGCCATCTTATTGGACGATTTGAAAGGGTCTACAGAGTCATCAAAGTTATTGGAGTCAAAGGAGGGTCTTGATAGTTTGGGTGAGTTGGGGATGCCTTTCTTAGTAGTAAATGGGTTGAAGTTGGGATCTTCCCACTTGTCAGAGTCAAACTTGTAAGAGACTGCAGGAACAGGGATATCCTCCTCGTTGCCATTGTGTGTTGCTGTAAGATCGTTGTCCAGCTGCTCCGTCTTAACCGGAGGGGCTTTCTTCAGCCCCAGCCTTGGTTTCCTCAGAGGCATCTTCCCACCAGGCTTCTTGCCCAATTTCTTAGGCGGGGGAGGGGTCGCCTCACAGCCCTCCTCAGAGTAGTCAAACTCCAGCCTTACTGACTGACGGTTGGGGACGATGGGTTGCTCTTCAGGGTTTGTGATCGACTTTTCAAGAGGAGCTGGTGGGGACGGCTCCACAGCAGACACAGAGGGACTCTCTGGGGGGGGGGGCTATAGGAGCACACACAGGACCTTTACGACCAAGAACGGGGGAATTGGCAACTTTACTTCCTCCAGTATTGAATGGGTCAATGCTCTCAAAATTATCTGGATCCCATTTGTAGGAGGTAGTAGGGGGGATGGGGGATTCGTCTCTACCTGCTGGACTGCCCGGGAGAGGGGTCTCCTCCTGGCACAAAGGTAAGGCAGGGATAATAAGGCTCTCCTCTTGGCTCGTATGATTGGTCTCCTCCGGCAGAGGAGGTGGAGTCTCCACACGGTTCTTCCTGGTTCTGCGGAGGGTTCCTCCGGGGCTCGGGGTTGCAGACCCTCCCTCTGCTTCCTCCTGAGGCTGGAGAGGGCTGGCAGTACGAGGTGTTGCCCGGTTCTTGATCTCCGGGGTGCTGCTGGATGAGGCTGGCCTCGGACTCTCTGGGTTGGAGTTCTGCCTGAGAAGAGGCTTCTTCTTCAAAGACCCAGAACGGACTTTCTTGGGCCTGCGGAGCGTCCCTGGTGCGCTCTCGGTACCTACGCTAAAGGATTCAGAATGTAGACGGAAACCTTCCACCGATGATCCGTCCGACAGACCAGCAGTGTCTAGTTCTCCTCCCTGGAGGCTGAGTGAACGGGTAAGAGCAGAAACCTCAATGTTGTATTGGCCACTGGCTGCAATGGGCCGGTCCTCATCAAAAACAATACACGGGGAATGGCATGTTGCATCAGCTGAGGGCAACTCAGAGGCAGGATCACTGACTGAGGAGTCTGCTACTGCAAAAGATGGAGAGACGTAACGTAAAGAGCTTTTAGCTGCTAAAAAGCATAACATCCAAATTGAGTGAAACTGGTATAATGATATGTTTGAACTGGCTTATGTGTTAGATTGAGACGTGAAACAGGAAGCCTTCGTGTAGACAAAAGCTGTAGCTGACTTTTTTTAACACATCCAATGAATACTGGTTTATTCCACTAGATGGTGCACACAGCCTGTCTTACACCTGCATATTTATGGCGGTGTACCAGAGCATCATACTGTAGAAGAGCTTTGCACACATCATGGCAACATTTTCTTACTCTACCTTTGTCATTGGATGTTTGCTGGGTTTGGGGATCTATAGGATGAACAGTCTTCACTGGAGTTGTGGCTTCAGGGGTCTCAAATGCTCCATCAGAGTCTGAACTCCTATAATAGAAGATGAGCATACATCAGACTGATATCACTTGAACTGTAATGACTCGGAGTCATTGACGCCATGCGAGGGTGATCATAACTTCTCTCCTTCAGAAACAGGACATCACGAAGGATACTTTTATTTTTTTGTCGGTATCAGGTTGGAGGCAGGTGCAATTACATGTATGTGAAGAAAAGAATCCCTGTGCTAGTATGTGTTAGTGTTTTCTTTTTTTGTAAACTGTAATGTCTACAAATGAAAACACGGAATCTGCAGTGAGATGACAGATAATGACACAACTGAGACACTGAATAACCCCACCTCAACACACTCATGCAACACCCATACAAGTCCATCTAAAGGTTACACAGAGTAGGGAGGGACTGAGGGGAAAACCGAGTGGAAAACAGAGCAATTACTATTTTCTGCAAGATAGGCTGTAAAAGAAATCACACCGTTATTCTGTATTGATTATTCTCAGCATTACACATACACACAAAGCAAAGCCCTCCAGAAAACCGGACTACGTAGGTCGGTGCTCCACTGATCAATGTATAATCTGGCAATATGTCGCCTCAGCCTGCAGCCTGTCTCACCTCTGTCTGATCGGCTCCAAAGCATCCCTGATCCTGCGGTCATGTTGTGAGCTCCAGGAGAAACTCCGTAGGAGCCCCAGACCGGGATCAGAGCCCGGGCTGTCACCGTCTGATGCCCCACCCAGCAGTGTGTCCCAGCCCCAGCGAGCCCACTGCAGTGGAGACAGAGCCTGCCACGTACTCACTGCCATGACCGGCTACTCCTCTCCGCACAACGATGCTGCTGCCTGACACACAGGTAGACGCCCACCGCCTCTTCTTCAGATGATGACTAAAAGACCACCAGTTCCAATCTTCCCTATTTTTTTCCTCGTTTCCTCTGTATTTTAATATCTCTTTGTTTCCAATCTACAATCTTATTTCTTTCATGCTGCTCTTTGTCTATTGCAGCCCTATCAGTCTGTCTCCTCTCCTCACCAGTAGGTAATGATGCCTCCCAATCTAAATGAGACTGGCTGCAGAAGCCCACTGCCTGCATACTGTATATTCTCTCCCCCCTTTCTCTCTCTTCCTCTCATGCTCTCTCTCTTGCTCTCCCTCCAGTTTCCTCCCTCCCTCTACATGTCTTGCTCCTGAACTACTTGGCTGTATCCACCGAGAAGACAAGGCACCCTATTGCCCACCAGCCATACATTTACCATTTACCAGTACTTCACCAAATGAATATCATGTCCCTTAATGTTTAATGCGTTTAAATTACTGTGTACAAATGGGTCATTCATACAGACACACTGAAACTGAAGAAACCTCCTTTCTTTTGATAATACTGAATCCTGAAATGATATTAGTGTGTGCATGTGCAGGCGATGGCTTCACCAACACATCCTTTGACAGTAGGATTTAAATGAGTGTTTCATAATGTCCATATAAAATGGTAAGGAAAATGTCATGACTAGAGTAAACTGTGTCCTTATTGTGGATCCTTTCACAAATACAAGAGCCTAGATGGTAGAAGAGACAGGGACCCCCACGGTTAAATGACACCTCTATGTCTGCACACTATATTGATTTAGCTCAACTATAGGGATTTAGCTCAAGGCATTGTTGAAGCCATTCAGCATCCTTTGGGGGTCATTTGTCAAACATGTGCACGCATACATGGATCAAATAAAAGCCAGTAGTACAAAAGACATGGGGGGCCTATAACACCATCACGCCATCAATTCTGCCGATGCAATACAATTCCGGTCTCACCCACTTATTTGATTGAGGTGGCTTGTAATAATTGTCTTTTGCTGTCATGGTCAATATGTCGACTTTCCCTGGGGTCATATCACAGCAGAGATGGAGGTGTATCTAAGTCAACACTATGGCAGGAGTAACACGTTTACTTAAGCACCAATGTAATTTACTGTGAAATTATATAGACTACACAAGCTCCAACAGGGTCTAAATGATATGAGAAGCCTGTTAATTACATTTTTCTATACAAAGTGCAATAAGCTAACCCTAACCCTATCCCTCACCCAAATGAAGCAAAAGCACTAGCAATACTTTGGGTAGTGTGATGCAGAAATTAGAGCACATAGTAAAGAAGGGAGCCAGAGCTGTAATCTCTGTGAGGGCCCAGTGTGTCCCAGCAGGATCAGACTGGTCTGCCTGGAGATCCATCTGGATCCTTCACTGGAAACCAGGACCATAGTGTCACATGGTCTGACAGGCAGTGACACAGACAGCTCCAAGGACAGGACCCACTTACAGAGAATCAAAAGAGCTATAAGAAATTCAGCTCTCTGGAGATTTAGTTTTAATGTGTGGCATTAACATTTAAATATATATATATCATTTTGTCATAGGATGATTGTAAATAGAACTTAATACAGTGATATAATAAGGAAATTGGGTCTAATTTCAACGTTCCGTCCATGTCCTTGCAGAGGATATCTTTCACGTGACTGCAACACTGTGTTGCTATGGTAACAGAAGGTTGCTCCCGCCGCCATATGTTCCACGCTGGCAGGAAACACGTTGGAGGCTCACAGTCTAACACACACACTGAGGCTTGCCTCACGTGGTACAGTGACGTGTTATATGATATTGAAAACAAATAAATGCACATTGAAAATGACGCAAGTCGCTGCTGCATAAGCATTATTCATGAATCATTTTGGTGAAAGCAAGAAAAAATACATAATTATGTGTTTATTCTACCTTTCTTGTTCCTCTCACAATGCTTGATATTTGGTATTTATTCAAAACAAATCATACAATGAAATGAGTGATGTAATTAAATAAATAAAAAGGTTGAATAAAATCAATCTTGGAATATCTCCTGTGTTTTTTCAGCAGCTTTTGTCTGTTCTGGATGCAGACAATAAATAGAAAGAGGAAAAGCAGCGCTGAGTGGGTGAGGAGTCAGGGTATGGGGGCGAATAGAAACAAAGAGAGCAGCAGTGAGTAGCATCCTCTCACAGGCGGAGATGACTGCCTGGAGACAGGATCTCTGCAGCGTGAGCGGGGCAGGGAGACGCTGCACTTCAGACAGCCAGACGTGTCTAAAATATAACTCGGCCTGTCTAAACAGCTTTCACTGTGCTGGAGGGAGAGCCAGCGCCATCCCCGGGGAAGAGGTGGAACTGGGCTACACTGACAAGAAAACCTAACACCACCTGCTATATATATATATATAGATATATCTATATACATTCTTCCCAAAAATAAGGTGTTGGATATGCAAAGCAAGCACTTATCTGCTCTTTTTAAAGATTTGATTACAGAATTTAGGAGGGACTAAATGTGATTAGCTCTAAGCAGCTGTGTGATTAGCCTCAATGGATTAGCTGCACCATCTTCATCAAAACTCTCTCCATCTGCACTCCAATCATCTATCTTTTTTTCCGTTCCAATGCTACTGTCCCTTTAATTGCCTGGCACCCTCTTTTTTGTTCCATTTCTACAATCATCCAAGAATCAACATGATATCTCTTCATTTTTTGGGAGCTTTCTATATCATGTTGATTTGTGATCTTATGATATCATTTTGGGCATTAAAGGATCTACTGATTGTCTGTCAGACAAAAAGGAAAAGAAAAAGCAGTTAAGTAAAATGGTCTATGAAGCAATTCAATGCACTATTAATTGTTCACATGCTTAGCCTTATCATACATGTATGTCACTGACTGAACTAGGATTTATAAATTAACCAACATAATTTCCACTTAATAAATAAAGTAACACTTTTACTACTGTTGGGGTTGAAATTATAAAATAACTGCTGATTTAAGGGGTTTTAGGTGGGAGTTTTAACCCCTATTTTAGTGTATAAATACAAGTTTTCTATCCTAGAAAGAAACGTTGTTTTGCAGTATAAACATGAAAATACCTGGAAGTAAACATTTTACACCAAAAATGTAACTGTAAATGTATATATATATATTCTTTTTTTAAATAAGGAAGAGAGTAAAATCATATTATATATAACAGGCAGTTATACCAAGAGTCTGTCCCTCATAACACCATAAACAGTGTATGAACTGAAGACACCAACAGAGGGAGCTCCTGTGCTTCAATCCCGTGGAGTGTCTGAATCTAAAGCATGACATCATAGTTAAACATCATAACAACCTATTTTAATTTTACAAGAGCCTGTCCAGTTTCTCCACACATGTGATGTGGTGAGCCAGCATGCAGGGGAAAAACGTTGTAATGGAAAAAGAGCACATAGTGGCTCTTGTGTTCTTCAACTTCAGGAAATGAAATCTTATGGAGAATCATTCTGCACCTTCTGCAGGTCATATAAACAGAGCCACGTGTCTCTCAGCTCCACCCAGACTGATGTCAGCTCTCAAGTCTGGTGTCCCTTTAAAATCCAATCAGTCTCAAAACAAAGAAGCAACTGAGAGAAAATAGTGTCAGACTAAGATTATGTCCATGTGTAATACCTCAGTGAGCCTAATCTGAGACTTCACAAGCAGATGGCTCACTAACCAACAACAGGCCAGGTCTGTGAGACAGAGCACCAGCAAGGAGGGGGTTAAAATATCCATTTTGAAGATGAGATCAGATGCTTGGTTCATTCAGTAATATCCCAACCCTCACCAATGCAGACACAAACAAAGTGCTCACTAGTTTAAGATTCCAGAATATAATGGAAATTAATTTGCTTAAAGGTGGGGTAGGTAAGTTTGAGAAACCGGCTCGAGATACACTTTTTGTTATATTCCATGGAATGCTCTTAACATCCCGATAGCAATGAATATCTTAAGTGCTTTGACAACAAATCCATTAAAAAATGTCATCTGTGGAAGCCGTAATACTGTAAAAAGCACGACCAATCATTTTAGCCGGCCCGGCTAAAATAACTGGATGGCCTACCTGCCTGTCAGCCTTCCATCTGTGCACAAACTTATCTCGTGCCCTCATTGGTCATGTGCGCATTCGTGTGTGTTGGAGGAGGGGCTCTGTAAGGAAGTGGC